TCTCAAATTTCTCTCTTCAGCCAAGACCATTCATCTTTCTTGGTGGTTATCTTTTTAATATCTTACAGTTTTTCCTTGTTTCATGTCAAAATTTTAGATAATTTTAGATACTTCAGCTAATTTATCCTGATTGCAAAGGAGATACTAGTGACTGGGAATTTCATTGGGGGTAAATACTCACTCTCTTGCTTTATCTGAGAGCAAAGATCAATGATCTTCATGTCCTTGTCCTTAAATCACACCTGAGATGATTCCCTTTCTTCTGTTTAGAAACAAGCAATTTGTGCTTAGTAGATGAGGATCATTTTATGAACTTTAAGATTTGGATGTTTTGGTAAATGGTTATGTTATGGTGAATGGTGTCACGTGATTGAAAGAATCCATAATAACTGGACAATCAGCACTAAAGTTTTGTTTCATAAGTCTCAAAGATGATATACTTCTGTGAGTCTTCCATATCTCTTCAGTATACCTTACATTTTTTTATTCAGTTTTTCTTCCCCATGACTGTTGACTCTTAAGTTTCCTCCTTCATTGCAGATTAATCTTATCTTGATGCAGTCAGCCTAGATGCAGTCAGCCTAACAGAAGGTTGTCTAAAGTAGGATTCAAAACATGTTAGTACATACTAATGATCACTAGTTCCAGACTCAAATCACAATCTAGGGCTGAAATCAGAAGAACAGTGAGTAACCAGCAATATTCATGTTTCATAAAGGACCGGACATGTACATAGGTATGGAGAATATCAATCACTTTCAGAGAAGAAATACTAACAGAGATTAAATTAAACTATAGGAACAAGGTAAAACATAATATAGCAAACAAATTATCTCCCATTTTCTACTGTGATTTCTTCTGAAATGTCTGGCAGAAGTTGCTGTTTGACAGAGAATACTTCTGTGAAAAATCTGCCTGAATTCGGTACTGAATTTTGAAGCGCAGTTCTTGAAAATGCTCATGCTTTCTGGTGTTGTGGGGGAGGAAGGGAGGAGCAAGAATATTAATTCAGCCTTAAGAGGTTTCACATATCCCAGAAGAGTGTAAAGTGATTCTAATTTAATTGCTGCTGCTCAGATAGGTAGCACAAGACATCCAGTATTTGAGGCTTATCTCTGACCTCTTGATTGACCAGCATGATTAGGTTGGAAGGCCTTTGGATTTTCAAATGGAGAAGAGGCGCAGAATGTGGATCACAGAGAAAGAGAGAGAAAATATAGTGCTGCATAACCTGATTTGTCTATCACCAGCACTGGGTAGCTAAATTCTTAGGGGAAGTTAGTTTGAGAAGGTTTTTTTTTTTAATTTCCATTTTCTCTTTTTGCAGTTCAACACGTTGATGGTATTATTTTCTATCTAGTTATGTCATGCAAATTACTAAAACCCAGCTGGATCCTATAGCCATTTGCTGACGTTATTTAATGAAGCAGCAATGCACAAGTAGCGTGCAAGTTGAACCAACAACATTCATCTTAAACATGATGCGAATTCCGATGACTTCAGGCTTAGATTTACTATTTGAATAGGACAGTCATTGAGTGATAAAATAGTGATTAGTAGTCACATTCTTTTTAGAATTGTAAACTACCTGAGAACAGAAAAATGAAATCAGCCGCTACAGCCAATTGCTACTAAGCTTTTGTTGACTAAATCATTGAGGATCATTTAGGAACATGATGATGTGATTCATAAAAATGTGGACCACTTTGGAACATTTTGGAAATCTGAAATAAGTTGTAGAAAATAAAGCCTAAAATGCCATGACGGGAGTGTATATAACCTTTTCTTCTAGTCTATAGATTTCTCCTCCTCCATGAAAGAAACAGCTGAATGTGCTGTTGGAGTGGTTTGATTGGTTAAAAGAAGGTTTTTCTCACTTGAAAGCAGTAATACTCTTTCACCTTTCTTGTTCTGCTGTTCCTCTGATTGTTTAGCACATTTTTGACCAGTCTGGTGTGTTGTTCATAGAGTTTTTCAGTCTCCTTCAACTGGATGTCATTTTGTATTCACTCACTGTATTTTGTTTTATCAGTAGGAATGAGACATTTTGACAAGGTCACCATGTATGACGCGTCAGAAAGCTGCATTTTCTTTCAGTCTGGCATGGTAATGTCTTACTGATTTTGCCTGTTCTTATGGTAGAGAGGTTTCTCTTGATGTTTCTTGATAATTTGTAATTTAATAACACCTGCCCTGTCTTAATGTCCTGATTCAGACTTACGAAAGAATGTCAGCCATATGTAGAGCATTAGCATCTGTGGGATCCGGGCAGGATTGTCCTTTCTTGCTATGGGAGCTGATTTTCAGTCTTAAACTACATTTTTAAGGAAAGAGTCTTTCCTTTATAGGAGGCCAGTACATTTGGGCATTGGACTAAATGACCTTTAAAGGTTCCTTCCAACCCAGAGTGTTCTACGATTCTATTACAGCTGAGGAGTAAAGGTGACATACGTGGTCTTTGCCGTGGAAAGTTAGATGACCTTTTGGATAATCTGAAAGACCACTTGAACTGTCTGAAGATAAGGAGGAAGACCTTGAATCTTGACCTTGAAGACCTTGAAGCTTCATCTTCTTTGGAAACTAACAGGAAAGTAGGATACTTTTGCAGCAATTTAGCAGATACCCATACCAGACCTTATCAGAGGGGAAAATTATTTTACTTAAAATAAAACCCAAAACCAAACAGATCTCACTCACACTCTGTCTCATGTTTGCAAACACTAGAATGGGTGTGTGTCTAAGTAGCCTATCCAGCAGCCAGGCACCCCACGTGCTTGTGTCCAGATGCTAGGTCCAGGATCTGCTGCAATGACATGGAGAGCGTGGGATGCCAGCTCTCAAGTCTTCCTCACATCTCCTGGGTCCTTCATAGGTTGGCAACTATGTTCAGGTTTTGGATATGCCTTTCTTCACCCCTATGGAGCTGCCAACATTTTCTCTGTCCTTTCCTACCTCTTTGAGTCAACACTGTTCACTATTTTTTTCTCCAAGGTCTGGTTATCTTGTTAAGCTACATACATGCCTGTGGTCTTGATGACCTGATAATCTATGTTCCATTAGCATAGGCCAGTCTAAAATATCTTTTCCTGCTGTGTCTTTCCTTCTTGTGCCTCAGCACCCAAATATTCCCATTCATTCTTCATTCACACCAATCTTAGCTGTAGGTAAGTCCTAATTTCTGTGTTGACCGAAGTATTCATTGAGCTAGAGATCTTTCTGTGCAGGTAGGAGCTAATTTTTCAAAATTTTATGGTGTTATGGAGCAAATTAATCTAACCCATGTAGATCTAGCTTTATTTGCCTGTAGCTGCTGCTAAGTAAACAATTCATATCAGAAATGATTATAAGAGATTATTAAGTACAGAAAAAAGCAATTATTTTAAGGTCACATATCTTAATCAATAGCTATTCAGTGTGCAAACTCATCTTCTCCTAATGTAAATGGAAGGAGACAGAAAACCATCAATATGCCTAGAATTACCTTTCTAATAGTACATGCTTCAGGGTGGTGGTAAAACTGTTGTTCAGAATGCAGACACTTCAACTGGCACTGCTACTCCTCTAAAAAAAGTCGTAAAAAAATTGCTTATGAATTGTTTTATACACTGTCATCATATAAAAGGAGATTTCAAAAAATAACACTGGTATATAATTCTCACAATGATATTATCAATACAATTTGCATCACCAGTCTTTAAAATCCAGGGAGACTGAGGATGTAGACATAAATGAACAAACTACGCTACTGTAAAAAATTGTTCCGCACCTTTTGATCCATGATGTTCCATCATATTTACACAGAAGTGTAACAAAACAATTGCTAAGGGAACTTCTAAAGCAAAGCGTTGCTTTATTACCCTAAATAGTTGCATTTTCTTGCTATTTTATTTGATCACAATGGTTAATTTTAAAGAAAAGTGTATCTGCTTAACCAGAAAACATGTATATGATGATGAAAATATATATTTTTAACATTTACAAATACGATTTGTTTCAGGTTTGTTTTTCACTTAGGTTTTTTGTTGAAATAGACTTTTAGGAGCAGTTTTCTATAGATAAATGGAAAAATTAAATGGAAAAATACAAATACAGTTGTCTGCACTGACAGCTGTCCAGAGTTGAAAAGATATTAAATGTCTCTGTAATATTTTCCTTCTTCTTCCCTTTTAACACATACAGCAAGTCTTTTAATTTTGAGTTTTGAAAAAAAAGAGTGGTTTAAGATTACTTGAGAAAGTGTTTGTCTGAATGCAATGTTGTCTATATATCTAATATGTCAGATTTTTTGTATGAAAGCTCAGTCCTCTTCTTAAAAGCTTCAAATTCTGAAGACTTCTTCTTAAACCTTATTTTTAAATGGACATGATATCAATATTGTGAAAGCAAATATTTACTGTGTTGTAGTAGTTTAGGTGTTCAATTTAGATCGTGTGCTCTTGATTTAAATAAGTATGAAAGTTTTCCAGAAGACTGAGGTGCTAAATTATTTTTGTTAGTCAACTATATTTGCAAGACCAGTATGTGCCTGGTACTGAAGAATCAACTACTGTATTGAAATGTTCAGATGACTGGCAAAAAAATTGTCGTCTTAGAAACTTCAGTAAGATCAACAAATTAACATACTCATTAAGACTGCATGCATATAGGCTGCTAGTATGCTAGTCTGCTGGCATCATTTCCAACACGTTTTCTTGTAACATTTTCTTAGCAAATCTAGAATACAGGTGATAGTGGTGTTCACAACACATCAGGGAAGTGGTGGGGTCATTCCATTTTATGGGCACTGAAAGACAAATTAATCACATGAAGCTGCAGACAAAGGCTCGGGGTATAGTTTAGGGGTCTGTTAACGTAGTCTTACCCTGTTTTAGAAAGGTTAAGAAAATCAACATTATTATGTGTTCCTCAGCAATGGTATTATAGCACAATCCCATCAAAAACGAAAACTCTTGCTGACTCTGTTGTGCAGTTTTAGTCATCTGCCATTTCTTTTCCCACAGGAGTGTTGTTGTACCGGTAAAGAAACCCCCTCCAGGTAGTCTGGCTGTTACCACAGTTGGAGCTGCCACAGCTGGGAGTGGACTGCCACCGGGTAGTACACCTAATATATTTGCTGCAACAGGAGCTACACCAAAAAGTATGATTAATACAACAGGTATTGTCTTTAAATATTTTTGTGTCCCTCATTTTTTTCTTGTTTGTTTTTTTGTTTTGTTACTTTTAGTGTTGTTTTGGTTTTTAATCATCTTTTTTGTTACTGTTTTTGTGCTTCTGTAATAAAAACCTGGAAAGATTAAATCTTGGCCTTTATTAGAGCCAGTGTTTTCTCTTGGTGTATGTTTATATTTGTTGATAGTGCACGTTGGAGTTGCACAGCCTTAAGTAAGTGAATAAATAGCCTTAATACTATTTTGTAAGTGTAGTTTAGAATTGAAATGAGCTAACTTCTCCAGTGCTTTGCAGTAGAGGATGTTTGTTTATAAGATATATACCAATTAATCCCGCCTTACTTGTCAAAGACAGACAACCAGTTACTTAATAAATATAATGCAGATTGTGGAGAGTTAATAATCTGGGCAATTACGATTTGTCAATGAAAATTATGCTATGATTTTTGCAAGGTTTTTTAGTAAGAACCTACCTAACTTAACTTAACTGTAGTCATGTCTTATCAGCAGTTGTTTACTGTGTCCTATAGGAGGAGGAGAAGACTTTTTTTTATTATTTATAATAGTAATAATGGGATTGTCAATCATGAAGGAGCCTGTTGACCATGGAGACTGTGGTTTCCATTCAGAAATGAATCCTTACTAAAAGCAACTGATGTTTACTTAAACTCCTTTGAAATGTCTGGCTATGGTCTGTTTTCTCTCTAAACTAAGCAAAAGCACTTGAGAGAAGAGCTCCCTTCAAGAATATCACAACTTCAGTCAAGGGTTGAGAAAATGAAAATCTCCCTGGGGTTGCAGAAAACGGAGGGGGAAGCTTTTGGCATCCTTCTGCTTCATGGAATAATATGAAGACAAACTCATTTTTTTTCTTTCCTTTTGCAGATTACCTTTAATACCTGGTAATAGAACTTTGATTTTTCTAAGGATAATAAAAAAATTTTTAAATCTAATTATCCTGAGGCAGATGGGAGGAATGAATGCTATGAATAATGTTATCACTTCTATGAACAGTTCCATTTGTGTAGCCACTTCTGTTAATCTTGAACAAATTTCCTTTTAGGTACTCTTATGTCATGCAAAAAATATCCTACATTGGAAACCTTGTTTTCCAAATGATACTGAATAGTGTAAGCTTTTCAGTCTTCTCACTGATTAAAGATCTGAACTGTTTTGGCTGGAATGTAGTATCTCTTCTTTGTAAGTAATTGCATTTAAAAATCAGTCATTTCCCCAATACTGTTCTTAGTAGAGGACAGTATTGCAGATACCATGGTACATTCACTGTGGATTAAAGGCTGCTTTTTTTTGGTAGATCTTATAGCTTCTTTTTTTCCTAATGCAACTGTTTTTGTCTCCTAGTCTATGGATTAGCTTGATTAAATGAAAAGTATTGATTCAATGGAATTTCAGCAAATATCAGACTTAATTAGAACTGTATATGTACTGAATTTCTTTAGTGATCTTATTTGGTAAAGCCTTTTATGCCTGAATTCATCTGAATGAGCTTTATTGATGAATTCTCTTAAGAAATAGTTTGAAGAGTCCTTCCCCTCCTACCTTTTTTAAAGATTTGAATTTTGTATCAATGTTTCAGAATTGGTAAACACATTAATGACAGTAAAAAAAAGTAGTATCACATTGAAAACATATAAATATATGGTAGATTAAAATGCTCATTTTGCCATTTTTAAATAAGCTATTCCTACCGTAGTTAAAACAGTGATCATGTATGTCAGTTTTTGAGATATACATGTGAAATATCCAGATACTTTCTGGTTTATATACTTGTGGTGTCTGTTATTAAAGTAATTAATAATCTATGTTATTAATGATCTTAAAGTAGTGTATAACATTTCATTAAACAGCTCTTCTTTTTTTTTTACTATGGTAGAAAAGAAACAGTATACAGTTTTTTAGAAACACTAGATGTCCCCCCAAACCTTCTATTTACAGTTGTTTTTACAGTAGAAAATACTCTAGAAATACAGTGTTTTCTTTGAGATATATTCTGTGCTTCACTTGTGAGAAAGGTTTTTTTTCAGTTATTCATGGATTGCAGTCGGTGTTTACATTCCATCTGCCATCACTGTCGTAGTCAATGTCACCGTCACGATGTAATGAGATGTATGTTACTGAAGTCCTTTTAGTGCTTTAAATGTATCTTCTGGGAGATAGGTTTCCTTCCTTCATCTCTTTATGTAAGAATCTGGTTTTATAGGTTTTAGACTCGATTTCTGTAATTCGTATCCTGATTTTCACTTCTACGTTAATCCAGTAGTTCTAAATTTATTTGGTCTTCTCTTCTGAGAGCCTAGCTGGTTAATAACTTAGCAACTACTTTTTTAGACAAAAACCATAATGAAAATAGTTTGACTGTGGAAGGAAAAGGGGAAGAAGCAATCAAAATATGTTACCTATGTATATATGAATATAAATATGTAAATATGTAAATAACATGTCATATAAATATGCGCGTGTGCACACACACATAGACAAATACGCATCTATATGAAGCCCTATCTTTGTATGCAAGCTTTTATCAGCTCTCCTATTCCTAGCTAAGTTGCTATGAATCCTGGGTTGGGAGATTTGGCTACCTTATATCTTTGTGTTTCCTTCTCAGTGTGTTTGAGTACATTCACAATTGGTATATAATCCAAGTGAGAACCCATGATGTAAGTCATACCACACCTCCCACTCACATTATTAAAGCAGTAGGCTAAATCAGCTCCTAGTCTAAAACCTGAACCTCACCAGCTACTCTAGTGTCAGCAAGCCCAGCAAATCCTGCTGCATTTTGATACTGTTTTAAGTGTAATTTTTTTTAAATGAGCCAGTCAAAATTATTATTTTTCCCTTAATTTTTTTATCAGTAAATATTATTTGAAGGCAAATTAAAAAAAAAAATTCATCCCTGCCGCCAGAGAATTTTTCACCATTACCAGCATTTGACTTCTACTTCACTGTCAACTGGCTGCTTAAGCACTCAAGACACCATAAATGCTTTGTAGAGCTTTGCAGGAAACTGAGAAATAATACATACCTGTGTAACGCAAAGGACAGTGACACATCAACTGCTAAAACTGACCAGCAACAGGGAGTTACCAGTTACCATTTAAAAAAATTGGCCGAATAATGCCGTTGGTATCTAAACTGGCGCTCTCCACCCCTCGTTGCTCACTTGGATGGATCTTGTTGCACGTCGCCCTCGTCCCTGGTAGCGTCGCGGTCCCTCAGGCTTTGCGCTGCGGCTGCAGGGCGGTTCGCTGCTCCCTCTCTTGCGGTGGCGTGTGGCACGAGGACTGCGCGGCAGAACAGGGACAGCATTTGTCACGGGGCTCTCGCCACTGTTCCCGGCCACTCTGGCCTTTGCTGGTTTGCTTCAGAGCGGCTGAACTCACAGTGGCGTTTCAGCAAACATGATAGATCGGCATTTAGAGTCTAATTTTAGCCCTTAGCTCTGACCCAGACCACATAAAGTATAAACGTATGCTCTGTCTGCGTCTTTCTTCTGGGCAACTGTTCACAACCTATTGAAATGATACCCCCACTGCCCTCCCTACTTTTAAGATCTTAAAATTCCCCTTGACTCAGGGAAGGAAGCAGAAAAATTAAAATTAGAGTCTTAATACTCCTCAGACACTGGTTTCCTCCACTACTTACTGAAGGAATACACATTTTCTATCTTCTCTGTCATTTTTTAATTTGTATTTTATTTTCTGCCTCTAGTTGCAACTGGGCAGCCAAGAAGTATGTGCATATATATATATATATATTTAAAAACTAGTTAAACTTCTATTCTCCACTCAAGCTCATCTTAAATATACCTTTATTTTAGAAAGATCTTGCTTTACAGGATGATGTAAAAATGTTTTCATCTTTGGAATATAATTTGGGAATAATGAAAATGAGGTAAGGATTTATTTTGCCTGATTTTCAATAGCTTTTTAAGCTTATTATTGTTATACTAGCAAAATAAGCTATTAATTTAATTGATAATTGTATGGAATGGTTTCAACTGTTTTAGAATAAATAACATTATTTCCTTACTTAAAAGTAGATGAATAAGACAAGGAGAGTATTAAAAGTCTCTAAAAGTTACGTTTCTTCAGACTGAATTAAGACCTGTATTTTTTGGGGGACAGGTGCAGTAGACTCAGGATCTTCTTCTTCCTCTTCGTCATCCAGCTTTGTAAATGGTGCTACCAGCAAAAATCTTCCAGCTGTCCAAACTGTTGCTCCAATGCCAGAGGATTCAGCTGAAAATATGAGGTATACAGGTTCTATCTTTTATTATTAATATTAATTCTATTTTCTCCTCCCACAACAACTTCATACATACAAATACAATATGCATTACTGGCATTATTAATGTAGTATAAGATGTATTCATATACTTTTTTGGTACTGAAAATATGTATACTAAAATAACACTTCACTGAAAAGTCTAACTTCTAAGAAATATGCCAGACACTAAAACTTCATTAAAAGTAATTTTTTAGTTGACCGGCTTTTTACATTGCTCCATAACGGAACGCAAGCGTACAACTTGGCCATGGAGCCCTAGCAAGTGGAAAGAGACACACAACCTCTTCTTAGAAAACAAACCCCTATTTAAACTGGGGAGGGTGAAACCAGGCACGTATTCATGCAGCTAAATGGTGCACCAGATCTGAGTTGGTGGTGTGAGACACATGCCATGGGATGGCTAATAGCCCTCGTGCGCTGACTGGCAGCCAGGAAAATGCTCTCTGAAATTCCTATTAAATATCTTTGTGTAATAGTTATTATTTTGTAGTTACTCAGTTGTGCCGCAGCACACTTCAGAGATGAATTTTTGACCTTTTCAAGGTGCACACCTGTCTGCGGTAAGAACCTGACACACGGTATAGTAAGGCGCTGCCAAGTGTCGCTTAGTTGGCCAGCCTCTTCGAGGTGTGGCTTTAAGAAGATTGGAGTGGAGGCAGCAACCAAGCTAGCTGTTCATGAGCTTATAAGATCATGAACAAGACAATTTCATTCCCTAAGGAACTAGAAAGGAAATAAACTTAAATCAAGGGCCCTAGGCAACCTGTGAAAAAAGGCATTGGTGCTTCAGTGATTTAACACACAATGCAAAACACGCCGTTTTTTGCTGGCGCTATCTGAAGTGTCAGGTGAGTGGTGCAGGTGGAATCACAGCAACGGCTGCGGGCCCAGGCTGAAAGCGTGAGGGCTGTTGGCTCCACCCCAAAAAGGTGCAAATGATTAGGAGACAATGACCGTTTGCGTGGCGTTATTCATTGCTTGACAGTGTTACGAGGTAGGTTAATAAAATTGTGACGCAAAACTTCCGTTTGCTTCCCGTCTTCTTCATATCTTCGGGCAGTGCTTTGCTGAGGGTAAAATGTTTTTTAAAATTCAGATACTAAACTATGTTAAAATTAAACTGGATCGCTAGTCTGTTTATTTTTCAGTTACTTTAACCAATGCAGTGTTCTTGTTTTTTCGCAAACATTTTGGAAGTTTTTCTCCTGGAGTCAAAGAAAAACTTCAGCTTCAAAATCTACAATTCAAATTTTAAACTCAGATTTTTATCTCAGAAGTAGCTGTATTCTGAGTAGTAACTCACGTTAGGGATTGAAATAATTTACGTGGAGCACAGTAACAGAAATGTAAATCTAATCAACCCAAGAAATGTCTTTTGGACTTTTTTCCCTTTTCTGCCCCTCCCCACACACTCCCCCAAGAAACAACTAAAACTTTATTTTGATAATGTGTAATTTTTGCTTTTCTGACTTGGAGTTCATTGTGCTTCAGCTTTTGTAAGATTAAAAATCAGAGTTGTTTGGGGGGTCAGAGAGCGTGAAGTGAAAGCTAGCTTATCTAAGCCTTCCCTTATAGCAGCTGCATGAGAAAAGAGCTGCTCATGGCTGCAGACTGAGCAGAGGAAAGCAAGGAGGAGAATGATCCTGGGCTTTTAGACATTTAACAGTCTTGATTTGGAAGTAGAGGTTTGGCCTGGAATGAGGTTGGGAAGGTAGCATCCTTGGGACTGGGACAGTGTGTGCCCCCACTTCTCTTTGCACTTTCTTGGGGCTGGTTCAAGCAATAGGTAGTAAGAACTGTGCAGAGGACTACTTGGTCTTTTTGTTCACAGTTTCAAGAGTATTTCTTTTTAATCTGATGTTGCTACTGTGTTCTTTCAATCTTTCCTGTCCCAGTTTATCACCTTTATATATATATAAAAATTATATATATTTCTATATAATATAAATAATTTATTTTCTGATATGTATTTCCTTTAATGTGCAAAACAAATAAACTTGAATTTGGAAGATACTAAGAGTTTATTTGCCTTGAATATCCAGAAATGGAGAGGAAAAAAAAAATTCATTCTTTACCAAAAAAAATGAAAATCTCTTAGTTCAGCCATGAAAACTAGTTACATTAATCTCCACAGGGAGTTCCCTAATGATTGCTGGATGCATTATAAGGTATAATAGATGTTGGAAACAGCTGTAGAATCAGATTGATCTCTCTTCTCTTATGCTCCTCTGTGTGTGTGTGTGTGGAAAGGCGGTAGATTGGCCACCTGCTTCACTGAAATATTTTTGGGATCTCTGTGTATGTTTTTTTTCCTTAATTTTGTTTGTTCTTTTTGAAACTGAGGGACAAGAACTCCAGTCAGTTTTCAACATGTAAATGCACTAGAGATTTATATGAAGAAGCATCTTTTTTTTCTTTTTTCTCTATTTAGATATTAAGTTCTGTCCTTTGATATACAGGGCTAAACTTTGATCTCATATCTTCACAGAATACTATTCCCAATTGCCATGAATAGATCCATAATATACAAGATCCATCAGCTATCCATTTGATAACAAGGTGTTTATTAATAGCTCATCCAAGGTATTGATTAATAGCACATCCATACCTCCCATATTACTTGATTCTTAAATAAAAATTGATCTGAATTTGAAAAATTTTGAACTTTTAATTTTTTCAATTCCATGTTTTTATAGAGCTAAATGAACTCTAAAATGAGGCCTTTTAAAACAATTCACAGTGAAAGCATATTTTAAAACAAGGTTTAGAGAAGTCTGGATTAATCTAGTAGGCTTTTTATCTCTAGCACCAAAAGCTTGTGATAGGTTCATGTTGCAAATTAAAAACTCTAAGCTAGTCACCTGCATTTCAAGTATAGTCTGTAGAGTGTTTAGCATAGTGAAATTTACTTCAACTAATCATCTTAAACAAAGGCTGGTGATATGAATCCATCCTTTAGAATATTAGAAAATCAGTATCTGAATTTGAAATGGGAAAGCAGCACATGGAAAGAAAACAAGCCATAGGAATTGAGTAAAATAATTTTAAGCTAATGAAGGAAAACTTCCAATGTGTTTATAATGTCAGCTTTCTTTTTAAATGTAGGCATTTTCATGTCATCTGAATTAAAAAGTCCACATTTGTTTAGTGTTTATAGATAATAGATACAGTATAAAATTTAAATGTCAGTGTTCATTCTCTTAGATTCTGTCAATAAATGTAACTTCTTCCTATAATTGCACTTTTAAATGCCAGTAATATTTTGGTGCTGTGATTCAAGCACAAAGAAGACCCCTTCAGCCACCAGCAGTCTGAAAAAGAATAGCAAAAATTCTTCATAGACTGAAATATGTGTGTAATCTCATTTCTAAGTAACACTTCACTTCTTTTAGATAACACAGCGGGTTTTTAATCTTGATATAAGAGTTTCAGAGGGCACAAGTGTTATGCCCTGTCAAGTTTTAAAAAGGAAGAAGGACTCTTAAGTGGTACAATCCATGCATCAAAGAGTGTATATTCTCACCAGACAGAGAAGTATAAATGCAAAGGCAAAGTGATTTACCTGGGATCATGTTCCTTCAAAGCTGAAGAGAGAGTATTGATTTTCTTGATACCTGTGCTATGATGCTTCCTCATACACTCCCTTATCCAGCATTGCAATGCTAGATGTTGTTATTTGAAAGCTTGAATAAAAAAGCAAGTTACTTGTGATTGCTTTGGGTGAATAAAAACTTCTTTTTTCAAGCTTTCAAATGTGTACAAAATGATTACATGCCTATAAGCTGAGAAAGGTGAAATAGAATTACACTTGAGTATTTGACATTCTTCTTATCATGTTTGAAAATGAGAATAGAAATGTTACCTGCTCTGGACTACTCTGCAAATGCTGTAGAATTTATGAGGCTGCCACACTGCTGACTCTGGCATGACATTTGCATTTACTTAAAGCCATTTAAACACTGTAAAGTTTAATCAAATTACGATTAAGCTCTTCTCTAAAGAAGCTTACAGCAACTTTTAAAAATAGGTAAGATTTGACATCATTTAATTTCTATTGTTAAGTGTTCTTCCAATCCTGGTCTTTATTTTTCCACAGTATCACTGCAAAGCTTGAAAGAGCCTTAGAAAAGGTGGCCCCTCTCCTGCGAGAAATCTTTGTTGATTTTGCCCCTTTCCTATCCCGAACATTGTTGGGCAGTCATGGACAAGAGCTGTTGATTGAAGGTACTGTTTCTGTTATAAGATTATGTTATTTTAGCTATTAGTCATTCGATATGAACAATTTTTCAGTTTCACTGGACTTTATATACTATTTTTGGTAAATGAATCAGTTGTAAATACATTGTTATTTCACTTCCTTGCATTTAATTTCATTTAAGGAAATTAAAAGTGATAGCTTTTGTACCCCTTTTTTTCTCTAAGTGAGATGCTGTGTAAAGATACGTCCTGTCATCTTGGAATGCAAAAACCTCTCTAGTTTGCTTTTTCCACCTCAGAATAATTATATAAATGTTTCAGCCTGACTTTGAGAAACTAGTGAAAAATACAATTAAAAAGTGTAATCAATTCCCATAGAAGAAAGTAAATTGAAGACTGTGCTCCAACATTATTGATACATATATATTTGGTAGGGACAGTATTTGCTCAGGTAGGTCACATACGCAGATCAAGAGTTGTCGCCAGAGGGGAAAAAAAAGTGATGATTTTTTTAAGCAAAAGTATCCTTGAACACTTTCAGGGATTTTTATGGGGTTGTATACATTGTCTTTACTACTTCATAGCTAGAAACTTTTCTTTATAAGTGAGGCAGTACGTAATGCAGAAATTATGCAGAAAGTGTGTGGTGGGTTGGCCCTGGCTGGACACCAGGTGCCCACCAAAGCTGCTCTATCACTCCCCTCCTCAAAACAGACTAGACTTGGGGAAATTTATTACCAATCAAATCAGAGTAAGATAATGAGAAATAAACCCAAATCTTAAAACACCTTCCAGGGCTTAACTTTACTCCCAAATTCTCTAGCTCCTCCCCTCCAGCAGCACAGGGGAACGGGGAATGGGGGTTACAGTCAATTCATCACACCTTGTCTCTGCCGCTCCTTGCTCCGCAGGGGGAGGACTCCTCATGCTCTTCCCCTGCTTAGGCATGTGGTCCCTCCCACAGGAGACAGTTCTCCATGAACTTCTCCAGCATGAGTCCTTCCCACAGGCTTCACAAACTGCTCCAGCCTGGGTCCCCCACAGGGTCACAAGTCCTGCCAGCAACCCTGCTCCAGCCTGGGCTCCTCTCTCCACGGGGCCACAGGCCCTGCCAGGAGCCTGCTCCAGCGTGGGCTTCCCATGGGTCGCAGCCTCCTTCGGGCATCCCCCTGCTCCAGCGTGGGGCCCTCCCCGGGCTGCAGGTGGAGATCTGCTCCCCCGTGGAGCTCCATGGCCGCAGGGGCACAGCCGGCCTCACCATGGGCTTCCCCAGGGGCTGCCGGGGAACCTCTGCTCCGGCGCCTGGAGCCCCTCCTGCCCCTCCTGCTGCTCTGGCCTGGGGGCTGCAGGGCTGTTGCTCTCACATGTTCTCGCTCCTCTCTCCAGCTACAATTTGAGCAGAGGGGTTTTTTTCCCCGTCTTAACTCTGTTACACCAGCAGCGTGACCGCCATCACTGATGGGCTCGGCCTTGGCCAGCAGTGGGTCCATCTTGGAGCCAGCTGACATCATTGGCTCTATCAGACATGGGGGAAGCTTCCAGCAGCTTCTCACAGAAGCCACCCCTGTAACCCCCCTGCTACCAAAACCTTGCCACGCAAACCCAATACAAAGTGCACATATGGCAAGCTCATGCAGAAAGTCACGAGTCAGTGCGAATGCAGTTAAAATAGCGATGGGGGAATTTGCAGGAGCATGCACTGCTTGCACATCATATAGCCAAAGGAATACGTTCAGCCAAGTAAACCTTTTGCTTCCAGAATTGTTCTTACACAAAATATTGTTGTTTATTGAGAGGAAAAAGTCTCATTAAGGCAAAGCTTATAATGTGTGAAGATCTATGCAGAAAAACCACAACTTTGTGTTCAAATTCCAAAACTCCTTCTATTATACATTCATTTTATCTAAAAGTTAGTGTACAGTCTTTCTATGGTCTCAGTTATAACTCCCCACAATGCTGGCCCTTTTTTACTCTAACCCTTACTTTTACTATTTTTTTTAATTTAATGCTAGAAATATTTGCACCTTGTAACTGAAATCTTCTGAATAGCCTTTTCTTTTTTTGTCTAATTATTGTTTAATAATATTATTGTTTCATAATACCAAGGAATGGTATAGTAGCTTAGTAATTCTCAGAAACTTCAGATATTTTATACTGTTTATTTTATAGCTATGAGTAAGTTGCAATTCTCCCTTAATGACACTTGAAGTTAATAGTCTGAGATGCTCATCGAGAACATTGAGATGACTGTAAAATGATTGATTCCATTCTTAAGTCTCTTACTTCAGTGAAGTTGATTGCAAAATTGGTAACTGTTATCCTTTTCTGTTTGACAATTGATTAATTGCACTATAGTTTTTATACAGTACAAATAAAAATGTCTTTGTTTCACCTGAGCTCTTTTGTAGATTAAAAAAATTCTTTACCAATGCTGTTCTGACTTTGGCTTTTGGTCAGATTCATAGTGTGAACAAGGCTACAACGGTTCTCAGCATATGGCAAAGACTGAAAAGCTAGAGGCCACAAGAAGCTCACAAGTATACAGCAGTATGAGTTTATCTCATTTTCTGTCCAGAGAAGAGAGGTGGTTTTGTTGGCTGTAGCATTCTTCCAATGCCCACTTGACTGGACTGACATAGATTGGACTGACACAGATTGGACTGATATTGTCCCATCTATGTCTCAGTCACCCAATTCAGTCACAGGAATCATTGTTTATGAACTAAACACCGAGTCCCAAAATAAGTACTGTCCTTCCCATCACTTTTCCTTAATGTTATGTGTAACCTTCACTTCAAGCACTCTCTCATTCTTGATTTCTAATAACCAGTTCCTTTCTTCCCAAAATATTGAAATAGCAATCTCTAAAGAAAAAATCCAAGCACACCTTAGAATTTTACACTGCAGGACTTGAATTTCTGTTTGCCTCCTCTAAAATAGTTGGGCTTTTTTCCATCTTAGCAGAGAGCTCAGAGAGCTGCTTTTATAGTCATTGTGTACTTCTCATCTTTTCTTTCTTCATCGCCTGTATGAGATCCTTGATCTCAACTAAACTGAATTCTTGCCTACTTAAGTTGCTTTTTAAAGAGAATTCTAAATTCTCTCCTAGTCCAATACCTGATTTACTTTGACAAATTTTCTGTCATTGTGCACTGAATGCCAGTGGTGGTCCTTGAAGTGCTTGAAAGTTCTCTCCATGTAATGACTGCAAAACAGAGGTTTTTAGTGGTGTTATTCAAGATATGTGAGTACATAGAATTCCTTTGATAATTTAAACTTGATTTTTTGCTGGCAAGCAATAATTAGCTTGACAGTTTTATGTGAAATAGTTTAGTTCATTGATTTATGTGTAAATGTTTTAGTTATAACAATCAAAAATGAGCAAATAAACTTTATTTAATAAAGTCTGAAGGTGCTGTCTGTTTTTCAAATTGATCACCATGAAAGTATCTGCTGCATTCTGTAAAGCATGGCCTTTTCTTCTGATTATTCATGCTTGAAACATAAAAATACCGTCCCTCCTCTTACTGTTTTTCAAAACCCCTTATGGTATGAAGACTTTTCCTTATCAGGTTTTCCTAAAATCTGAATACCTTCAGGCAACCTTGATGGCATGTGCTTTTTTCCTGAAGCTCTCTCTAGTGCTCTTGTGCATGCATGTGTGTAAGAATTACTAAATCATTTCAGACTCGATAAGAATATCCATGGTTATGTAGCTGAGGTTTTGTATGCTGAAGAGAGAGTACAAAAGAAAATGGAACAGAAAAAATTCATTTTAGTACCTCTAAAGCAGGTTAATTATGCAAACTTTCCAGAATATCTGATGCTTTGAGATAGGTGTTGTTAATATATATTTGGAAATGTAAAAACAACTTAGTTATGATTTCACCTTTTTGTTGTAGTCGAGCTGTCTCAAACTTGAAAAATCTTGCAGTCATACCGAACCATCTTATTTTCCTTTAGATTGTATCATCATTCTGTCCCATGGAAGACTGGTGGATTTATTGTTTGAGAAAATTATACTTAATATCTAAGCAGTGGCTGCTTAACTTTTGAGTGGAGTTGAACTGAAGAAGCTGCAATAATGGTCAGTCTAGACCAAAAGTTTGGACCACTCATACCCAAAATTGTTAATTTTTCCTATTTACTCATGTAAATTTCCAAATGTGACTGGTAGCAGAGGAATCCTGTCAAGCAGTAATGACATAGCAGAATATATTTATTGATAAAATTCTTTATCTATTTACATACTGAAATAGAATCTATTCACTTATAGAATCTAATTGGAAACAAACAGGCAATGTGTGTAGGTCCCATATCTGAGCTTAAAACCATAGAATCATAGAATTGTTTAGATTGGAAAAAACCTTTAAGATCATTGAGTCAAAGCATTAATGTAGCACTGCCAAGTCCACCACTAGACCATGTCCCTAAGCACCACATCTACATATCTTTTAAATATCTCCAGGGATGGTGATTCAACAACTTCCCCAGGCAGCCTGTTCCAATGCTTGACAACCCTTTCGGTGAAGAAATTTTTCCTAATATCCCATCTAAACCACCCCTAGTGCAATCTGAGGGCATTTCCTCTTGTTCTCTCGCTTGTTACATGGGAGAAGAGACCAACACCCATCTCACCACAACCCCCTTTCAGGTAGTTGTAGAGAGCGATAAGGTCTCCCCTCAGCCTCTTCTTCTCCAGACTAAACAACCCCAGTTCCCTCAGCCGCTCCTCAGAAGACTTGTGCTCCAGACCCCTCACCAGCTTCGTTGCCCTTCTCTGGACACGCTCCAGCACCTCAACATCCTTCTTGTAGTGAGGGGCCCAAAACTGAACGCAGGATTCAAGGTGTGGCCTCACCAGTGCCGAGCACAGGGTGATGATCGCTTCCCTCATCCTACTGGCCACATTGTTTCTGATACAGGCCAGGATGCTGTTGGCCTTCTTGGCCACCTGGGCACACTGCCGGCTCATGTTCAGCCGAGTGTTGACCTACACCCCCCGGTCCTTTTCCGACAGGCAGTGG